ACCAGTTTCCATTCGTAAGTCGGAGTAAGTCACTAGTTCCAGGTATAATACCAGTTTCTTATCGTAAGTCGGGGTAAGTCACTAGTTCCAGGTATAATACCAGTTTCCATTAATAAGTTGGGGTAGGTCACTAGTTCCAGGTATAATACCAGTTTCTTATCGTAAGTCGGGGTAAGTCGCTAGTTCCAGGTATAATACCAGTTTCCATTCGTAAGTCGGAGTAAGTCACTAGTTCCAGGTATAATACCAGTTTCTTATCGTAAGTCGGGGTAAGTCACTAGTTTCAGGTATAATACCAGTTTCCATTCGTAAGTTGGGGTAAGTCACTAGTTCCAGGTATAATACCAGTTTCTTATCGTAAGTCGGGGTAAGTCACTAGTTTCAGGTATAATACCAGTTTCCATTCGTAAGTTGGGGTAAGTCACTAGTTCCAGGTATAATACCAGTTTCTTATCGTAAGTCGGAATAAGTCACTAGTTTATGGTATGACAACAAACTTTAGAGAGTATAATCCTAATACTTTGAAATATCTGCTGACAATTATATATGATATAATATTTCAAGGTATGACAGGATAACACAAGAGTACGACATAATTTTCGTGTTACTATGTATGAACCAAGAGAATCGTTTTCCACCGAGCACAGAGTACTAGTTATACACATTTGCTTATGAGGTGAATTTTTGACAAGAATACTCACTTCATTTTGCCGCCACCAGGTGGACTCAGCTTCAGGTTCTTGTGATCGTTTGACCACCAAAACGACAGCATATGCACTCGACGCTAGGAGGAGGATAACTGTGAAATTCGCCAATGTACGCAAAACAATCACTTTCCAACTTAAAGAGGGGAGGAGGAAAGTGAATCAGAGAATATTAGGTTTAGGTTTCTTTTATCCGCAAACTAATTTGGCTGATTTTTTTACTAAAACTACCAAACTACTATTTTATTAGATCATGAAATATTCACAACAATTCATATCACCGAGTGTGTTAAGAATAATTACATATATTTATACATGAAATATGGTCAGTTATACCTTAATACAAATGGAATAGCATATCATAAAAAATAATGAACAGTAGAAGTCTTTTAGAAGAAAATACTGTAACGTGTAACTAACAGTACAACAGGATCCACTTAGTTCCACATCAAATGTTTGGTATAAACATCTTATCTTGAGACTGAGGGTATCGCCATCTTACGGAAAGAAAGTAAATTATTTATTTCAATATCGTGTTTGTTGTATCTAATTTTGAATCCTCAGCTGTGACTTCACTAACATAATGTGTCTGAAATACTTTATGACACAATTAGTCTTATGGTGTTTCGATTTCAGCATCCACTCATTTAAAAGTGGGGCTTTATTAATCTTATTATTCATTTCAACATAAAAAAAGTACATTCATAGCTTTCTGTCTCATTCGTTTTGAAGTGAAATATGAATCAGTTGAGCACTGCCTTAGTCTTACATAGTCATGGGTATTAATGCATTTGGAATTGCGTTTTTTATTGTTGTTATTTCATAACTACATTCTACACTTAAGAAGGTCTGCCTGAAGGTTTGTTTGTTATGAATTTCGCGCAAAGCTACACGAGGGCCATCTGCGCTAGCCGTCCATAATTTAGCAGTGTAAAACTAGAGGGAAGGCAGCTAGTCATCGCCACCCATCGCCAACTCTTTGGCTACTCTTTTACCAACGAATAGTGGGATTGACCGTCACGTTATAACGCCCCCACGGCTGAAAGGGCGAGCATGTTTGGTGTGACGGGGATTCGAACCCGCGACCCGCAGATTGCGAATCGAGCGCCCTAACCACCTGGCCATGCCGGGGCCCTAACCACCTGGCCATGCCGGACCCCTGCCTGAAAGAAGAATTTGTTTTAAACAATTTCGTCTAGATAATATATACTTCGTGGGAGTGCTTTCAAATAAGTGAAAGTAACGAGAATGGATTAAAAATTATCAAATTATCTAAAAAAAAATGGCAGTAGGGATTAGTTGCTCTAGCGGTGACTTTGCCAACTAGAAACTAAAATCAGTAGCGAAATTTCTGACCAGTGTTAATGTCGTCTCTGAAGCGACATCTAGTGATAAATACGTAGGAATTACGTTATTCATTTTATAGCAGAATTGTTTAACGCTTTTAACGCTTACCTTAAAATGCCGTGGGATAATATGTAATTAATCTGTGATCTAATGCTGAAACAAAATTACAATGAAATAGTGCTTGGTCATATTATGAGAAGTAGGAATCACAGCGACCTCTTGCGTTCTGAAAAGACACCATATTTGATACGTAGCAGGCAAGAGTTTGAATATTTTCTCGTTAATGACCACTGCAATTTCGTTCCTTACACATCTCTCAACTTTAAAACACTTTAGTTGTTTCACTTACTTCCGTTCGTCTTTTTTCTTCTCCTTTTCTTCGAGAATTGCCTCCTAGTGGTGTAAATATGAAGTAAAAAAAATTGTAAACTCGAACAGGTTCATATGGTTCATTAGGTAACAATGTAAACAATTGTAATCAACAAACGCGAAGAACGTAGCTTAGTGACTTAACGTTGGAGAGTATTTTATGTTTTACACATAAGTTTGTTTGTTTGAAGTTAAGTACAAAGCTACACAATGGGCTATATGTGCTCTGCCTACCACGGGTATCGAAACCCTGTTTCTAGCATTGTGTCACTGGGGGGGGGGGGCTTTACACATAATTCATTACAAAATGTAAAATTTGTAGAGGTCATGATTGTCCTTCAGGGAGTCAGTGTTGGAGAGTATTTCATGTTTGGAACATAATTCAGCGAACAAAGTATAATTTGTCGAGATAATGATTGCAGTTCAGTGAGTTAACGTTAGAGAGTGTTGTGTAGTCTATATATAATCAGTTGCATAGTATCTAGCTTCTGGTGGTCATTAAGACAGTTTGGTAAATTGGTGTTGTCCTAATGTTTCTGATAAACTGTGTTCCAAAGTTGAAGTATATAATTGAACTTGTTGAGCAGAAGATGGGTGGCGAATATCCAACCACGTAGTTAATCACGTTAGTTATGTGAGTTCTGAAGTGATGGGTGCTATAATTTTTTCCCAGTTCTCAATATTCCGTGTTTGGATTATTATGCTCCTTTATTTCAATTGAAAAAAAAAATAGGTACTTAAAAACCAGTGGTGGTTTAGGTATTAGGGCCTCAGCGCAGAGCGCTCAGATTCTCTTCTGGGTTCTTCTTAGCCGCACCGTAAATGCTGATACAAGAGTAATAAGACAATTTTGAAGATGAATGTTTGTTTGTTTGTTTGTTTTTAATTGTGCACAAAGCTACACAAGGGCTATCTGTGCTCTGCCCACCACGGGTATCGAAACCCGGATTCTAGCGTTGTAACTCCGCAGACATATCGCTGTACCACTGGGGGGCTGAAGATGAATGAATATTGAAAGGCTTAAACATAAATGAAGAAAACTGATCAAAAATTATTTGTATTGACATTAATACTTTAATATATATATATTTTTTTACAGTATAATAAGTGTGAAAATTTGCATAATTGAGAAATGTGCAGTTTAGTTACATGAATAAAGAAAGGATGGTTCGTATATATATATATATATAGTTTGTTTTTGTTTTTTTTATTTCGCGCAAAGCTACTCGAGGGTTACCTGCGCTGGCCATCCCTAATTTAGCAGCGATAAAATAGAGGAAAGGCGGCTGGTCAATACCACTCACTGCTAACATTTGGGATAATTTTTACCAACAAATAGTGGAATTGACCGTCCCATTATAACGTTCTCACGGCTTAAAAAAAGGCGAGCATGTTTGGTGACGGGGATTCGAACCCGCAACCCGCAGGTTGCTCGTATGTATGTATGTCGCGTAAGTTTCTGAGATGGGTAGGAGCCAAGAGATACAGAAGAAAGGACGAGAAATCGTAATCATGGTTACGGTTTTTGTTATTATTTCATCTTATATATGCCCCCCCAGTGGCAGGGCGGGATGTCTGCAGACTTACGACGCTAGAATCCGGGTTTCGATAGCCGTGGTGGGCAGAGCACAGATAACCCATTGTGTAGCTTTGTGCTTAATTACAAGCAAACAAACAATTATTTAATTCTCAATTGCAAATAGTACTGATTTATCTCTCCGCCTAACATTCTTTATCGTTGAAACAAAAACAGAAAGGTTGACAGCAGATTTATATCTATTCCACGTACTGGGTGTGGCAGTCAAATCAGGAATTTGCATGATGAGTTAATTTCTATTTCTTGACTTTTTTTAATATATGTCTTGTGAGAAGTGGAAAAACCATCCTTGACTGAAGGGAAATTTTAGTGCTTATTAATACACGAATTCGGAGTGCGGAGTGGCAAATGATTGAGTTATTTGTTTGTAATTAAGCACAAAGCTACACATGAGGTGTGATGAAGATTCGTATATTGTTAGTTGATGTATGCAGCCACATTCTGTTAGAGGTGTGATGAAGATTTGTATATTGTTAGTTGATGAAGTTTTACATCCTATTAGAGGTGTGATGAAGATTTGTATATTGTTAGTTGATGAAGTTTTACATCCACAGAAGGGTCCTGCGATTTTACGAAGAATTGTTTTGAATTTCGCCCAAAGCTACTCGAGAATTATCTGTGCTAGTTGTTCCTAATTTATCAGTGATACACTAAAGAGAATGCAGCTAGTCAACACCACAGACCGCCAACTATTGGGCTACTCTTTTGCCAACGAATAGTGGAATTGACCGTCACATTATAACACTCCCACGGCTGAAAGGCAAGCATGTTCGAGAACCGTAAATCGCGAGCCTACCAATCCAACCACTAGGTAATGCCAGGCCCTTTTTGCGAAGAAAACCAATTCATTGTTTTTCTCCTTCATAGTTTTTAAAACAGGGTAATGCCAAATTAACCTGTAGTCAAAGTTAATGCTTAGAAATTTGATGATTGACTTTTTATAGTGGAACATTAGTGCCATCAATATGGAAACTGATTTTAGAATTTTTGTTTGAAATTGCTTTTCTTGCGATGATAAAGAAAGAGATGAATTTTGTTTTATTAGGACAAAAGGAGATATCATCTAAACCTCCTTGATCTCTGTCAAATATAACACGTGGATCGCCGAAATAACTCCACACCACTGTATCGTCCAGAAACGTGAAGAGCCAATAAGTGGATAATTAGGAAAAGGTCCCTTATTTACAAACAAAATATAAATTAGAGGGCTTAACACTAAGCCTAATGAATCTCATGCACGTATTTCATAGAGATATGAAAGATAACCGTTAAATTTTACAGTTCCTTATTAGGGGGCTTATTAATGAGCCAAATGAATAATCAGTATGTATTTCATAGACATAAAATGTTTCAAGTAATTGAACGAGATGATCAGACGTTTGTCTTTTATTCCTGACAGCTTTCTGTTTTTCAGAAATATACTTATATTCAAAAAACATTATAGTGATATTTTTGCAAGCAGTTCACCACACAGTTCAGTAAGGACGGTTTTCAGAATTTGAAGACACGTTATTTTTCTTAATAATAACAGTGAAAATAGCATAATTTCATCGAATGGAAAAATAACAAGAAAGAAAGGAGATAGAGAAAAGAACAAATATGTGTTTGACCAAAAGATTTCAATAATTTTTAAGTACAATATTCTTAATTCTATCTTATGCGGGTGACCTATTCTTAGAATGTATGATATTTAATTTCACTTCATAACGCAAAGTTGACGAATTTCATATATATTTCTTTTAAATTGTTGGTGTTACAGGAATCAGATGAAGGTGTAGTAAACACCAGGGTTTATTTTAACGTGCAGTAGACCCATACTTGTGCAGTACTAAAATTTATAATAAAAACTCCAATGTCATATAAAGAAACAAGAAGCCAATGCATGACCACGAGATTGAAAAGCAAAAGTAGTCTTATTTACTGTTTATATGACAAGAAGTATATTTTTAATTTTTACATATGCTGATTAGAATTTTGTTTTAAAATTGTTGTCAAATACTAAGATGGTTAAAACTTAAAACACCGTGTTTATATGACAAGAAATATATTTTTAGTCTTACATATGTTGAATAGTACTTTAGTTTACATTTTGTGTCAAATACTACAATACTACATGAGCTTACATGGTAAAGGATGGTTAAAAGACTTAAAACACTCGTAAACGCAAAACTATGCTGAATTGTACTTTAATTTACATTTTATGTCAAACACTACAAGATGGCTAAAACAGTAAAACTTTCAGAAATTCAAGATTTGCAAATAATGCCAAGTTGTATCTAGCATATAATCTAAAAACAAATGCTTCTCAGACTCAGAGAATCTCAAACACTGTGTCATGGCACGTGCCTTAAAGATTTGTGCAGTTCTAAAATTTCCTTAAAATAAACCGTGGTAAACACACTTCCAAAGAATTGGTCAAATATTTCCATTTTATTCTGTTGGAATAAGCTGTTTCAATTGCAAATAACGGGAAAGTGCAGAGGTCAGAAGTTTTTGTAACTGCTTATAATATATTCCCAAAATAATGCAGGATCAGGTAGGGAATTATCAATAGAATTTCAATAATGTTATCAATTATGTTCTTCGCACATGGCATGGCCTGGTGGTTAAGGCGCCCGACACAAAATCTGAGGGTCGCAGGTTCAAATCCCCGTCCCACCAAACATGCTCGCCCTCTCAGCCGTGAGGGACGTTATGATGTGACGGTCAATCGCACTATTCGTTGGTAAGAGTTGGCGGTAGGTGGTGTTGACTAGCTGACTTCCCTCTAGTCTATCACTGCTAAATTAGGGATGACTAGCGTAGACAGCCCTCGAATAGCTTTGCGCGAAATTCAAAAACAAACCATCGTTTTTTGATGAGTCTCATAGTTTGATTATTGTGGTAATTAAGCGAGATTTTGATTTTTGAGTCTCTAATGAGAATAAAAAGGCGACAAAATTTGTGTCTTTCAATGAAGTGAGAACGAGTTTCCAGTGACAATGATTGGTTAGATATTGTATTACTGAAGTTGACATCTTGATAACTTCTTGAATTGCCTGAGTACTTTTATTTACATAATTATCAATATCAACTGGATAATGTCCCCCAGTGGCACAGCGGTATGTCTGCGCACTTACAACGCTAGAATCCGGGTTTCGATGCCCGTGGTGGGCAGAGCATAGATAGCCCATTGTGTAGTTTTGTGCTTAATTATAAACAATATATATAACTGGATAATTAGCAGTTGTAATAAGAAGTAGTGGATGGAAAGGCTCGAGGTTTCTATTGGAGGGTTCGTAATTAGATTTAGAATTTTTAAAAAATAATTTATAAGATTTGGTGGATTTGGGGTGTCACTTTTAATTCCGAAACCACTGACACATTTATATACACATCTATTAATATCCATTCTTTTTAAACTTACTACAAACGTAACCGCCCCGTGTTCCATAACGACACCTAGTTAATTGATGCCAGTGAAAAGGCGTCGTGTACAAATATGGTTTTGCTAGTTTTAATAATTAAAGTTGCATATCATGACGTAGTGCATCTACTATTTGTATTGATTTCAAATATAACGCTTGTCTTATCTTGTTTTTTTATCGCAGTAATACAAATTACCTTGAAGCTCATAATGAGTGAAGCGCTCTTGTTAAGAGCAGTTTCTGCGTTTCCAATCATGTAATCCCATCCAGTGAAAAGCTTCCAACTAAAGGTACATTCCTCATCTTTTTCGGACATCTTACTCATCCTGGAGTTTTCTGCCATTCTGCAAATAAAGATGGAGTCTATCAGTTTTAGGCAGCAACACCAATCTGTGATTGGGCAAGTAAAGGTTTAAGGTATTGGTTTCTGTATACAGTAACACCAATCTGTGATTGGGCAAGTAAAGGTTTAAGTTATTGGTTTCTGTATACAGTAACACCAATCTGTGATTGGGCAAGTAAAGGTTTAAGTTATTGGTTTCTGTATACAGTAACACCAATCTGTGATTG